ACCGGCGATGTCGAGGTGCTCGTGGATACCAATGCCAAGAAGGCCTACGAGGCCTGGTACTGGAAGGGCCTGCTGGATGCCCAGGGCAAGGACGACGGCACGTACTACTGAGCAGCGTCTTTTTTCTGGCATTTAGTCAATTTTAGTCCTGTCTAGTTCGCGAGCTTGGCAAGCACGACTGTGTAATGCAATCACGGCAAATACCAGATCTACTACCTGAGCACTGCTGTTGCATTATTTTCTGCCACGTTTGAAGCATGCTTCACTTCGAGTGTCGCTGAACAGTCTGGACGAAACTTACGAACAGAAGATGGCAGTGCATTCTGCTTGACTATTTCTCTAGTTAAGTTCTCGACATCATCTGCAGAGCAGAGCAGGTCTCTAACTGACGTCGTTCAGCAGTGCCATGTTCAATGTGAAAACATGTTTGCATGTGCGGCAAGCAAGAAGCTGGACATGCAGTCGCTCGTTAGTGCCATGTGTGGCAAGATGTCTTTTCGGAGTCGCGTAGTGTCAAACAGGTCGCTTCGCAGCTGCTGGCCCGCAGCTCACAGCTTTTTATAAACTTGTGCTGTCAGTTGCTGTCCGAAGCCATGCAGGCCGGGGAACAACCGAGTGGGCATTTGCTTCAGACGTGACATGATGCTGATGTGTAGCAACATTTGAAGTATAGCCATCCCGCATGAGAGGTTGCTTTCGTCGCTTCCTCTTCTAGCGCGTCGTGCTCAGTTCTTCAGCGAAGTTTGAAAGATTAACACAGATGCGCAAAGCCGCGTGGAAAGTGCCGTTTGTCTTAGATGGTGGTTCAGAGTCAGTGCTTGAACTGTGAAAGCAGGCAGCGTCGGCTGTTCAAGCTGCACCGCGACTTGCTCATGGAGGACAGAATGTGCACCGCGCCAGACTATTGCCGTCTGCGCGGGTTTCTCTCCTGCAGGACAGCAGTCCGCCGCTGGCTTTGGAGTGAAGATGGCAGCCGTCGCTTCTTGCACAGCAGCGGCTGTTGGCTTGGCTTCCAGCCGGAAGCGCTCCAAGACCGCGGCACGCTACACCACGCAGACGATCCTGCCGTCCCTCGCCTGGATCAAATCGGGCGTGAAGGCTTCCGAGCTGCAGCCCAAGCAGCTGAAAGCCCTGACGCTGGCCGGAAACGATGTGCTGATCGGCAAGACGGAGGCTGGGGCGCTCTTCTGCGTGGGTAACTTGTGCCCACACATCGGTACGCC